CTGTTTCCCCTTCAATTTATATCATTGTCCTTCCACAGAGAGGGTGTCTAAAAATGAAAATGAAAGGCAGCCCATTCAAACACAAGAAGAAGAGCATTCAACTAATATCCCATGGTGTTGCTACTGAACATTTATTTGGTTAAAAAAGAACAGAAAATTGGTGGGGGAAAAACTGAGAGAGCATAATCTGGGAGTAAGATCAAGGGAACAAACAGTTCTCTTAGCCAATTTGTTAGCTTTAGCTAAAAAAATCATGGTATTTCTTCATTAGCCATCCTTTTTCCATCTTATATGTTTTTGCAATGAATTCTGTTCCTAGTTCAAATATGGATGATGTCCAAATCTTATATTGTTTCATCTCTACAGTGATGAACCTATTTATGACTTCAGCTCTTGTAGTGTTGAGCAATGCAAGACGTATCTAACTTCAAAACTCCCAGAATGCATTCTCAACAAACCCTTGAAAACAGATATTGATGCACCTGCAGTTTGTGGAAATTACTTTGTGGAGACGGGAGAAGAATGTGACTGTGGCTCTCCTGAGGTATTTTTTTTAAAATCAACAAGAGTGTTTTCAAAAATTTTCTCCTTCAAAAATCATCTGGCTATCTAAGTGGTTTGAGCCATGCATTAGGTTGGTTTCTGAATGGCATAGGTTTTTGTGCTTTATGTACATGCATGAATGCTGTGGCTTCTTAGATTTGAGGAACCAGTCATGGAGGAATAAAGAACTGGTATCCCACTAACAATTGGGGAAGACAGCATATTTTTAAACATAGGTGATTTACCTCTCCAACAAAATTCTTCCCTACTGAAAACTCTATTTTGTTGACATGGACACATGATCTGTCCCACTATTTTCCTGAGCTGCTTCCTCCCAGAACTTATGATCTTTAATCTATGCTCCGACCCCTAATAATATTTTTATAAGAACTGTGATTTACTGAAGTGTTCTCTTTATATTGTTAAATACACATATAAGGGTTTGTAAGAATGTTCCTGAGAGACAAAATATGGAGGAATAATCTACTCAATGGTCACATAAGTGTGACAGATTAGCCTGCTGAAGCAAGGGGCAATCATCTCAAGGAGAACAGATCCCACCTATTCTTTTGGTCCATAAAAATGAGAGGATAGAAATGTACATTCAGTATTTAAAGATTCTGCTACTGTAACCTTAAAATAAGGGTAGTGTTAATATTCATTGTTGGTGCTTCTTCTTTGAATTACCTCCAAGGCTGGCATGAAGATTACAAAATCCCTCATGAATAAGAAAGGAATAGGGGCTCAATTGGGAGGTGAGGATATGTTTATTTGTTTTATTGTTTTCACATAGGAAATATCAGATAAGTCTGTTTCACATAGATATGCAATCAGCCGTTTATAATAACCAACTGTTTGTGCATTTGCTAGCTTAAACCCATTAGAGGGAACCCATCAGAGACATATCTTTTCCTTCTCAGTTTCCCTCTTCAAAATAGACCAATAAAAAAAGACCAGGCTGAGAAGTCTATGACATCATTTGATATGTTTTGCTTCTCAGGATTGTAACAGTACCTGTTGCGATGCTGCAACTTGTAAGCTGANTTCTGTTTTTAAAGATGAAAACATTCAATAAAAATTATTTAAAAAAATAAATAAATGCAGACAGTGGATGGATCAGTTTTGATCTTCTCCTGTGCTGTAACTTCCTGGCTTAAAAGTTTTCTTCTGGATGCATTTGTGTATGTTCTGGAGTCTTGGTGGGCATACATGCATTCAGAAGAGCTAGCTAGATGAATTCTGAGATGGTATCCTCAACTCAAAATTTTTCACTTAGTCATCATTTTTAGACAATTAATGTTAATGATAATTGAATTCACTTTCAGTTTCTTGGCAGACTAACAATAAACAAAGTATTCTCTTTTCTTTAGGATCATACCGAAGATACAGGTTTGATGGCAACTACTATGGCCCATGAGTTGGGTCATAATCTGGGCATTAATCATGACACAAACGGCTGTAATTGCCCTGCTGACACATGCATTATGACTCCGCGACTAACGTAAGGATTGAGAGACACTTTTAATGCCTTTCCAATTACATTATTTTTTAAATACTTGCAATTAACTGTGAAATTAAATATAGTGAGGACTCACAAAAATTAAATAGTTAGGAAGTTATAAAGGTGGAACTGCTCTCAACAATTGAATAGCAATCATTCAGTAGCTTCCTCCAAACCACAAGAGTTTAAAGAAACAGAATAGCCCAAGAGATAAAACATCCAAAATTTCCAAAATAAGAAGCAGAATGTGGGGGGGGGGGAATTATTGTTTTCCCTTGCCCCTTGTAACATAAAAGGTATGTTACATCTCTGACATACATTGCATTCTTCTGAAACTAACAGGGAACAACATACAGGGAGTGATTGACTTACAATCATTTGTTTAGCAACCATTTGAAGTAGCAATGGCACTGAAAACAGTGATTTATAACTGGTCCTCACAGTTACAGCATTTACAGCCTCCCTTCAGTCACAGAATTAAAATTTGGGCAGTTGACAACACCAGTATGTATTTATGGTGGTTGTAGCATCCTGCATTCATGTAATTGTCATTTGTGACTTTCCCATCTGTCCTTCCATATGTAAAGTCAAAGGAGCAAGTTGGAGCCCCTTAATGACTGTGTGATTCACTTAACAAAGTGGCAAAACTGATTGTAAAACTCAGCATGACTCACTTAACAACTGGCTTGCTTGGCGATGGAAATTCTGTGGCAGCAAGTCAAGGACTAGCAATATTTTGTTCCAGGTGCATGTTTAGCCTTTGCCTCATCAAGAGGGAAAAAGAAAAGGAAAAATGAAGCAAAACAAATTG